AACAGGTTTGCAATGACAGGTGACAGTGGTGATCCCATAGGGGCTCCTTCAATTTGCTTGTAACTTTGTCCTTTGTATATGAAATATGTGTTGGTTAAGCAGTGTTCTGTGAGTTCCATGAGGTGTTTGGGTGGTTGGTATTTATTTTTGATTATTTCGAGAGTTTCTTTTATCGGGACTTGAGTGAATAGTGAAACCACGTCCAAACTTACAAGCAGATCTTTTTGTTCCACGTGTAGATCTTTGATCATTTCCAAGGGGTGGTATGAGTTTTGTAGATGTGAAGCTGCTGCTTCAGCATGGGGCTGTAGCTGCTTTGCTAGGTATTTGGCTAGGTTTTGTAGTGGTGCTCCTCTGGAGCTGACTATGGATCTGAGAGGTATGCCTTCTTTGTGTATTTTTGGGAGGCCGTATAGTTTGGGGCATCTGGAAGTTTTTTCTCTTGGGATGATCGTCTGTTGGATCTCTTTGCTCATGTGGCTGGTTATAATTTTCTTCTTGGTTATTTTTTCCAGATATGTGGTTGGGTCCATGTTTATGGGTTTGTATGTGGAGTCTTGGAGTAGGTCTGTCAATTTTGTTTCGTAGTCTTTTCCATCCATTGCTACTACTATTACTATAAAGGTAATGCCACAGTAGTATCTCAAATTTATAATTGGGAAGCCCTTAATGAAAGGCCGACATCTATTTAGATAGATAGATAGATAGATAGATAGATAGATAGATAGATAGATAGATAGATAGATAGATAGATAGATAGATGATAGATAGATATCGATATCGATATCGATATAGACGAACACAATACAGAAACCTGATGATGGCAGATGAGATTCTGCCGAAACATTGCTACAACTTTAAAAGCACAACTGTAATGACGTGGGAAAATACCTGAACAAAGCTGAATACCATACTTATAAATACCCGTGAAAACTTAAGAATGTGTGTGTGTGTGTGTGTGTGTGTGTGTGTGTGTTTTCTTAAGTTTTCGTGGGTACTTACATGTATGTTATTCAGCTTTGTTCAGGTATTTTCCCATGTCATTATAGCTTCCTAACAAATGCTAGCTGTCCATTCACTCGGAGCCAAACTGCACTAAAAGCCTCCAATACAGGAACACAATGTTGCCAGCCAATCAAGACACCAAAAAAAAAAAAAAAAGCCACAAAACAGACAGAAGATATTAGAAACACCAATCAAGCAGAACACAGCAAACTCCAAGACCAATAAACACAGACCAAGACTCCCAACCAATCAGGATGAAGAAAAAACCATTCTGGCACAGCAGTAGGCTAGCCCCAAATTTAAAACTGAAACAACTGTAAAAGTCTGACTCACAGATGAACACAATACAGAAGCCTGATGATGGCAGATGAGATTCTTGCTGCTGATAATAAGAGATATCTGTCTCTTCCCTGCAGTCTGATACTTGGGAGAAAGAAAAAGAAAGGGATCAAGGAGAAAAAAGGGGGTTTCAAAAAGAGAACTGATATCTTTACCACCTTTTGGCTCTGGCTGGATTTCCTGTTTGGCTCAGCTCTGCCTCCCCAAATAGTAATTCATGACAGTAACAACAGCAACAACAACAATAATAGAAATCAAACTGCCAGATGTAATATATCCAGTTACTACTGTGTTATTTCCTATGCTCCCAAGGTATTGAGGCTACAAGCATTCTTTTGGTGGTTTTAACAAAAAGTTTATGAGAAGTAGATAACAAACTTGATTTATTTCCTAGTACTGTCCATGTAAATAGAAGTTCTATTTTAGCATCCTTTTGCAAATGACCCGTTTGTTCATTTTGTTTGTTATGGGCGTGACATCTAAAAATAGTACTTCCATGAATTGTAGTGTGTGTGTGAGAGAGAAAGAGAGAGAGGGAGGGAGGGAAGGGGAGAGAGAGGGAGAGGGAGGGAGGGAAAGAGGAAGGGAGGGAGGGAGGGAAAGAGGGAGGGAGGGAGAGAGAGAGACTCCTGAAAATAAAAAGTAGTGGGGAGGAAAGAACTGAATTACAGATAAATTCTGGAGTAGTCTTTTTCTTAACTTCTCTTTTAGCACTTTGGTGTTGAGGGGTCTAGAGGGGGCGTGCATAAACGCACCAACATGCCTACGGTCCCTGTCCTATTGTTTCTTTTTATTTTTCTTATATATATATATCCATTTCATGTATTCATAACTATGTTTATACTTATACCTGTTGTCTTATAATTGCTTAAAATAAATAAAATAAATAAATAAATAAATATTCAGGTTAATTCCATATATAAAAAGTGACCCTATTGACAATTGACTCTCCAGCCATAGGACAGAGTCCTCTACCAAATTTAGGAGAGCATCCAAATGGCACCTATGTCTTCCAATAGAGGGATGGCTGAAAAGTTGCTATCCCAGATTGCTCCTTAAGACAATTGTTTAATTGTGACCAATGGTAGGGTTACACATTTTGTGTTGCAGAGTGTTTTGCCTACACCAGTTAGCAGTTTAATGAATGGGACCATTCACTGCTGATGGAAGGATTATATGTGCTGAATGGAATAATACTTGAGTGTCTCATGGAAATTCTACACTAAGAAACAGTTAATACCGCATGCCAGATATAGTCAGCCAGAAGTCCTAAATATGTGTTGGCTGCGACATTGACATAGCAGCTTTATTTCTGTGTCTCGGGTTCCTTTCAAACTGTTTGGGAGGAAGGATTGCATTTTTCATTTTCTTTCTAGACAAGACTAATCCAACGTAGCTTAATTTGATTGTTTAAAGGGACCATGCGGCCATGTGAGGCCAATGTATACGTACCGGAAGAGTGTGTATTTGGCCTGAATATCATGAGATCTTTAGAGATCCTGTAATGCAGGGGTCCCCAACCACCGGTCCGCGGACCGGTACCGGTCCGCGGAACAACTGCTACCGGGCCGCAGCTTGCTGGGTGCCGCCATCTTTTTTTCATGAAAAAGTGCTTCCTGTGAGCTTTTCCGGGTAGAAAGCTCACCGGAAGCACTTTTTCATGAAAAAAAGATGGCGGCGCCCAGCTGATGCCGGTACCAGGCCGCGGCGTCAAAAAGGTTGGGGATCACTGCTGTAATGTTCTTAGTTTCTGTAAATGCAACTGCTGAAAATGTAATAATAATGATGATGATTTATTAAACTTGTATGCTGCCCAACTCCCAATGGCTCTGGGCATCTCACAACAGTCAAAGATATTACAATAAAATCAATAAAACATGAAAAAGAAAATTAAAAGATGGCAAACATGACAGCCAAGATGGAATGAAGCCAAGGGTCTCACTTACCCTTGCCAGAGGCTGGATGAAGAGCCAGGTCTTCCCTTCCCTTCTAAACAACAGCAGAATTGGGATGTCTGGATCTGGCAGGAGGAGGCACTTCCAGAGGATTGCTGCACCTCTGAGGTCTCAATGGGTTTAATTGAAGGAACCTGGAGTGCACCAACCCCACAAGATTGAATTAACTGGGCAGATGTTATAAGAAACAGACAGTCCCTCAACTAACCAGGCCATATGCAGTGTAGAACTTTATAGGTAGCAGCCAGCAACCTGGGAGCAAACTGACAAAGATATTACATGAGCAGAACAAGGCAAGCCATTGCTGCTTGCACCCGCTGCATTCTGGACCAATTGAAGCTTCTGGGTGGTCTTCGAGGGCAGCCCCAGGTAGACAGAGTTGCAAGTCATGCTACAAAGCCATGAATGACTGAAGCACCCTACGATGTAGGAAAGCACTCAAAAGATGCACCTTATGGAGTTGAGCAAAGGGCTTCCTGACAGAGCTATCATCTCCTCTTTAAGCAGGATCTGTGAATCCAGGAAGACCCCCTAGATTGCACATCAACACTGAAGGGGAAAATGCTACCCCATGCAAGGTAATTAAAAAAAAAAGGAATATTCCTAGGCCTGGGTGACCCAAATACCCACAGCTATTTGATCTTGGTAGAACTGAGTTGAGAGATAGTTCTTTTCCATCTAAACCTACACAACTCCAGACTCTGGGGCAGAACCATAACAGCCTCACTCTGTCAACCTGGGGTTGAAATATATAATGGAGGATAATCAACTTACTGATGGTACTGAACCCAAATAAGTAGATGACCTCCCCCCCGCCGCACAGGTTCATGTATGTTGAGCAAGAGACAGAGTAGAACCCTGCTGAACCCCACAAAGGAGGGGCCTAGGGCAATGTTCCAGCATTGTCTGGAACTGGCCCCAGACAAATAGAGATAAAATGGCGCTCCCAATTCCCAATCCACAGAGCCAATTCAGAAGGATACCTTGGTCCACAGTATAGAAAACTGCTGAGGGTTCAAGGAGCACAAGAATGGATGTCTCTTCCTAGCAATGTCTCTTCTGCCCTAAGTCCTGGTAGATGGAATCTGCTCGGGAGGGGAGGAGCTAACTGGCAATTGGTTTCTCAGCTGAGTCAAAGGTATATCTTTTTTTCCCCAATGTTCTTTTTTTTGGAAGTAAGGGTTTTTCTAGGCAGATGACAAGCACATACAGTATCTGGGGATGAGTGTGCCCTGTCACTATCCCTATTATTATTCTGTGATAGCTTGGGTATGGTATATGTTACTCTGCTACATAGATTACAAAGATGGATGTTGTTGACTGCTGGCCATTAAGTCTGGTCCCAATTATAGTGAACAATTGCATGACTACCTTTGAAAAGCAAATAAAGGTAGATGAGCCCCACCCCATTTATTTTCAATTCTATTTATGAAATAAAAACAATTCACTCTTACTCCTGTAGCCTTTTCCTCACTGCGGTCCTGATCTAAATATTTTGTAAGTCACACATTTACATTAACGTTAAGTGTTAATTATGGGATGAGATCTTAATTCTTTCGGATCTTTAAAACTCCCTCAGCGTCTCCTCAGTTAGCCTTGCAGGTGGGGGCATGAGAAATTAGCTCATAAATATTTTTATTTGCTTGCCTCTTACCTTCATAAGAACAGTCAGTCAGGAATTGCGCTGAGTGACAGTTCCCTACTGAAAGTCAAGAATACTGCATTAACATTACTCTCCTTGAAATAAAAAGGGACATCATCTGAATGGGAGCGAGAAGAATGCTGTGAGAGAGGTGATTTTTCAACTTACTGATAGTAGAAAAGAAACAGAAATCTGGGTATAGAGTGGCTAATCTTTTTTTTTCCCCTCTTGCTTTCAGGGATTATCCAGCCAGGCTGATTTCAGAGAGTCACAATGGGGAAAAGGTTGCTCCGCCATGGAATTTTCTTTTTCCTGTTGCTTAATGTTGTCTGTCAGGCCCAGGATCTTCCACTGAGCCAGGCAACCTCAGGGACGAGCTCTCCATGTGAAAAAGATGCTGGGTCCTGGGGAGCTGTATTCAGTGAAGAACGACTGGATGCCTGGATCTGTTCTCTGATTGGTTCTTTTATGGTGGGGTTGAGTGGGGTTCTTCCTCTACTGTTCGTTCCTTTCGAGGTGGGAGCAGCACTGAAATCAGAAGGTAGGTCAGTTCTTTAGCAAAGCATTCTTGTTACCGTAATCTTGGCTATCGTTTATGCCTGTTCCCCTCAATCAGTGAATACCAGAGATAGCATGTATGTTTAAAGCATAACTGAGTGATTGTTGTGGTTAGCCGGCAGCAGGTGTGGATGGCTGAGGAGAGCGAGGACTCAGATGAGGGGCCAGGACCATTAGGGAGTGGACTGCTGCCTTCAGAGATTGTGGGGGCTGGCAGCAGCGATGAGGTTCCCGAGGAGCCTGTGCCAAGTGCGCGTGCGTGCAGGATTGCTTGCAGGAAAGAGCAGCTACAACAGCACGGACGACTCAGGAGTAAGGCTGCAAGGTAATGGTTCCTCCTTCAAGAAGATAAAAGCCAGCTGTGAAGCGAACGTTCTTTGTAGGAAGCAAAGACATTTTGAAACTCAGCCTTGTGGACATTACAGTTGGTATTTGAAGACTCTTGTATTGGAAACTATTTCTTATCTGTTGTTTTTTGGCAGCCTTGCAAAAACTTAGCAAGGCTCTTTTTTGTCGGAGCTAATTAGTTGGAAGCAGCCTTTTATCTGTGAAGAAACAGGATTCATAGATGAAACATTAAAAGGTTGTGCTGCTGACTTTGTTTTGTGTTTGCTCTCTTGGAACCAGGTTTGGGTCAGAACAGTGCTCTTTATGGCCAAGTAATGCCCCTTCTCGAAATGTGGTAATAATCTGTTGTTTTGCAAAGTAACTTCATAGCTAAAAGTGAGGCCTCGTGTTTTGTTGGGTGAATAGTTTAAAAGTCACCCATTGGACTTCAGCCATCGTACTTTACCTTGTTAACCAAAATTTCACAACCCAAGAAGTGGAATTCTCTGATTTACTTAAAGGAAGATAAGGAAGTGATTTGGCATGTACTTTAGCAGTTTGTACTATTTGATTTCCATTAGTTATAACATTGACCAAAATATTAGTCAGGAGATTGAAGCCTTCCTCCTCGCTGACCACAAGAAAGCCAATCTGGTACTTTCTCAGTGGCTTTTCAGTTTTTGCCAGACAATGACCATCCAGGTTTTGTGTCTGTTCCTCTTAAATAAGTGTGTGTGTTAAATCAATCAATATATTAACTTCTCTAGCAAGCAATTAGATCTTTGGAATATCCCCAACTTGTTTATTTGCCAAAGGGCCAGGCATCAACTATCTTGCTTTTTTCTGTTGGGTCCAGCACAGATGGCAGTGGGAACCTTCCAGTGTGCAGTTTTGGCTGCTCACAAAAGGGCAGTTGCTAAGGTCTTCCAGCTGGCAGGCACAATTTAGAGGTTTAAAGTGTATCAGTGTTTTGTCGGAAGCAGTGGATCTGAGCTAATTAAATAGCAGCTATCTGTTTGTATGCAAATGTCCTCCCAGTCTTGTCATGTGGAGGAGAATAAGACCGAATTCTGAAGTGACTGGCTGCCGTTTATTTTTCAGAGGGATCACATCGAATGAAGCAGCTGTTGAGCTTTGCTGTTGGAGGGCTTCTGGGTAATGTGTTTCTCCACCTGCTTCCGGAAGCCTGGGCCTACACTTGCACTGCTGCTGCAGGTAACACCCAGACCTATATCAAGATAATGAGACAAGTCATTTCATCACATCTGTGAAGAGGATGTTATAGATCAGGGGTATCAAACTCTCACGTCGTCACGTCAGCATCACGGGACCTATTGGGACTTCCCCCCCTCTTTGCTAAACTGGGTGTGGGCGTGGCCAGATGCGTGACGCATCTGGCCTGCAGGCTGGGAGTTTGGCACTCCTGTTATAGATTCTGGAATTGATTCATTTTCTGGGGTTGCAATCAAAGAAAGGCTTGATATGATAAAGAATCAGGCACAGCCAGTATATATCTGTAGGTGTAATAAAGAACAATATTGAATACAACTCCTGAACCCTCAGTGTGCTGTAACATGCTTGGATGGGATGGGGGTGGGGTGAAGCCCTATAATTAAAAGATTGATTAGTAGAAGTGGGACCTTCTGATTGTGTAGGACACTGGGAGCACCATTGAGAGAGGCACCTGTCCTTGTTTTGAATTTGCAGAGGTTATCTTTCTTAAACCTGTCGCCCCTAGCGACCCTTCTGGAATGTGTCTCCATTTGTTTTCTTATCTGGCCTCTGGGCGTCATCATCTCACACATGTCTGCCTGTCATGCTTGCTCGACTACAGTCAAGAGCTTGAAGCATTTAATCAAAAGTACCATTTAAGAACTTGCCAGGCTATGCCAGGAGGATGCATTAGCTATTGCAAGCTGCAGGTTTCCTGCTGTGCATATAATTTAAGAAGGCTTGGATGCTAAATTTTCAGTTTTCAACATGCATGGCTTTTGCCAGAGTAGTACATGATTCTTTATTCAATAAATCCTTGTCTTGTTCTAAGACTAATGCATAAAACACACAGCTTTCAGGACTCAGATTTGAAAATCAGCACTATAGCAAAACCTGGATAGGCAAGAAATTACATAGATGAAGGATCTAGGAAGAAAAAGATAGATATATATATACACACACACAAACGTACAGACTCTTAACTGTTTAAAAAATAATTTCAAGTGATTAACTGCAATGTAAACTTTTAGAAAGGTGAAAACCAGATTTTTTTCAAGAGTACAAGCTCCATGCTGGATACTATATTATCACTAGATTATACTGATCATATATATAAGATTACATTGATCATGTAATTTATATAGATCAATTAGGCCTTGATCACAATCTTTATTATAGGCTGTGGTACTTTTATTTTAAATAGACCATACCTTTTCAAATGATGTCAGGTATCTATGGATACCTGATTCTTGGACATTTTGATTGAACTAAAGCTGCCTTTGAAATATTATGTACGTCAAAACTCAGAGCAGTGATTTCCAGTTTTAGTTCTCAAAGATTGATTGATTGTAGCTAACTTAGTCCTTTATCACTAAGTCAAAATAGCAGAGGATGAATGGAATAATATCAACATCTGAGAAGCCAAAATTAGTGATCTTTTGATTTTGTGATTTCTTTTGATCTAGTGATTTTTTAAATTTTGTATTATGTAGAATATTCAGAGGCCATTGATATTTTGTTTACATTTGCAATTTTTGAGTATGTAATCAGGATTTCTTTATACAGATAATTTTTGGCTGTGTTGCCAAAAATCTCCAAATCTTTTCTTGTAGTCAGAATTACCAGTCAGACTGTGTTGTGGGTGGACAGATTTTTTCAACCCTGAAACATCTCACAGGTTGCCTCATTTACCAACTATTCAAATGTATGAGGTTATAAAAAAATAGCTTTGTGATCAATCCTCACATTTATGTCTGTTGCAGCATCTCATTTGTTTCACAACTAGCAAGTTAATAAAGAAGGCTGAAGTAAAATCATAAATTATACGATGTTCTCACTGAATTACCAAAGGGGAATTGAAGTTATAAGCCTATCACAGTCATGTGATTTTTCCACTTAGTAACTTAGGTGTTTAGTGATAGAGTTGTTGGCCTTAATTGGGGTTGCTAAGCAAGAACTACCTGTATCAGTTTGTTGGTTGGGAGCAGGGGCCATAGCATAATACTTCGGTTCACCCACTTGTGAAATCCTTCAAATGCATCTTGCCTCTCTCCTGCTACCAAGCCATTGCAGATGGTTGTTTTCCTACTGCTATTAATAGGAAATTAGTAACCTGATCCCTGCCAGCTAGCTGATCATATGATCACTGACCAGCCAGGACCAGGTGGTCTAGTTTCCTGCCATTAATTATACCAGAATCCATTTTCTGCTGGTCAGCTGATCATAGTGATTGAGGGGAGGGGAGGGAAATCTGCAGCTTTCCTCACAGCAGCCAACCCATGTGGCTTATGACTAATGACAGTCGGTTACCCATGGATGGTACAAATCCATGTAGGGTTATATTTATGACGATTCTTGCAGCCCCAAGTCCTTTGTGGCCCACTGTAATTCAGTAGTAATTTATTGGTCTATTGCAACAGTTAAATGTCTTACCCAACTCTTGAGTGCCAAATATTTTATTTTTCCTTGATTTAAAACCAAGACATTCTCTGATGAATCGAAAGGTGGTAACCGAGTGAAAAGAGGATGTTTTATGTAGCAGGAATAAAAGCAAATATTTTAGGTTGCATTGTTTGATACCTGGAATGTGGGAACCTTAGGATTTTTTTGGGGGGGGGTTGTTTTCTGGTACCCAACTTTTGTAACACCAAAGGAGTGAAATGTGCCCTCTACAGAATCATTCCTTGGGGATGCTTACAGCTGGAAAGAATCATCCTGGGCAGCCGTGTATTTTAGGTGTACAGTAGGAACTGATTGCTCTACTTCTTCTCCCCACCCTTACAAGGAGAAGGGCAGAGCATCCAACAGCAGAAGCTTCTGGGGCTCTGGGTGATCATTGGCTTGCTTACCTTCCTGAGTCTGCAGAAGATGATCCCAGTTAGTGAAAAGCAAGGAAGCACCAACTTGGTGAGTGGACTATGAAAGGAGCCCTTGAATTTGCTTTAGAGATGGCATGATGTGCTGTTCTTTGCTCCGCATAACACTTTATCCCATCTGTCTCTTTGAAGCTTCCTTCCTAGGTTAGGAATTCAGTGTATATAAACTATGGGGGAGTAGAAAGGCATCCCTTTATTGGGCCCCACAGGAATCTTCTGCCAATAGTGAAGAGCCTTAGGCACTGTGTTGAATTCCTCTCTTTTCTACTTCTAACCTCCCTCTGCTTCTGCACTGAGCATAAACTGTGCAAATATCTAGTTTCTGAAAGTTGTATGTGTGCATCTTGTAGCTATGTGGTGCTTCAGATTTGATACCAAAAATAGGCTTTATAGCGCAGAAGGATGCAGATGTAACACCTGTCTGCTGCTGTTCTTCAAAGCACCCACATTGGTGCCTGGGATCAGGTAGCAGCTTTGGAGGGACAGCCCCATGGAAAGGCACAGTTGCTTTTAAAGAGTTGCAGGCAGATGCTGCCCTTGTGCACTTGAAGCATCTTTTTGGAAATGGATTCAAAAGCCTACATTATCCTAGTACCGTGATGATGAACATGTGTGCCAGAAGTGGCATGTGGATCGATCTCTCCGGGCACATCACACATCACCCACTGCTCTTCCAGTTTCTGCACGCCGACCAGCTGGTCTTCGCGTGCGCGGGAATGCTGGAAACCGGAAGAGCAGCTCCCTAGTGCACATGCACATGCCAGGAAGGTGAGCTCTGGTCTTCATGTGCGCATGCGTGCCAGAAACTGGAAGACCAGGTGGCCAGAGCGCATGCGCACACCGGAAACTGGAAGCTCTTCTGGTTTCCGGTGCTCCCGTGCGCACACACTGGGAAGTTGCTCTTCCAGTTTCTGGCACTCCCCTGCGCACATATGCTCCCATTTTGGCACTCGGTGCCAAAAAGGTTCGCCAACCCTGCCCTAATATATACATGTCTTTCAAATTTCAAAACAGCCATTTTTCATGGTTCTTTTTTTAAGTGTGTGTTTTGGGGTGGAGTTAGAGAGACTGAAGTAAATGATACTGATTTTGCTTCCTCAGCAATGTTTGAAGTATATAAATGTGTGTTTAATTTGTATGGCTGTATTCCCACCTAGTATATATTCAAAATGATACTTTGTGTGTTGCCTTTGGAATGGGGTGTTTTAAAGGGAATAAGAGAGATCTCTTAGCCACTGTTTGATGGACACGGATAAAGTTCAGCCATTTCTCCATGGTTTTAGATCAACAATTGTAAACCAGTCACTGAAAGGACCCTGAATGGCAGCAGCTTCTCTAAGCAAGATGCAAACACTCCAGTTCAAAGAAAGAAGTCCAGCCCAGCTCATTGCAATGGGTCTTCTCATTTACTCTCATCATCAACTCAGAAAATCAAGGTAAAACATTGATTGATGGTCTCTCGAGATCTATGGCCCATAGAGAAATAAAATAGACCACTTGAAGAAAAACATTCAAAAGAAGTTCCATCGCCTGCTGAAAATAAGCAAGTGGACAGGATTCTAAAGAAGAGTAAACTTTCTGTTTGTTATGCTTTGTACTATAAAACATAGAGCTGCTTTATATTGACTGAGACTATTAAGACACACAGCCCATTATCACACGTGAAAGTCTTCTCTATTCTGGCTGCCTCCTTGTAAAGGAAATGCCCAGGATTGCATTTGAGATATCGTATATACAAAAGATATGCCTGGTCCCCACGTATATCCTCCTTAACTTTAATTCTTTATAATACGTTTAGAGGGAGAATAGGACTGAGTAAGTGATCTGGATTCAAAGGGGGAAAGTTGAGTTGTAATACCTGTTGGTATTTCCACAAAGAAGCAAAAGACACATTTGATTTAAAGATGTTTCAAGAGGGGGTAACACATACCAAATTCCTTTTTCTCCAGACCTTCTTTGAATTCAGATTGTTGCACAGCCCTAATGAACAACCAGTATCTGGATTCTAACAATGTTCTTACACTGCAGTCACTAGAGGAATGCTATTTCCTGCAATGCGGGGACTCTGTATTCTTAAAAATACACTTTCCAATGGAGGCGAAAGGAGTTCAGTCAGACATGCTGTGTTCCTGTTGAGAACTATCAGGGCATATAGAGTTATGCCCGTCAAAACACAGTATTGCTGAATCTGCTGAATTTTGTATTTGTGTGTTTCTAGGGACCATCCTGTAATTCCATGTTGCTGTTTCCAAAGCAATGTGCCTCCTTGTTCTCACATTCAAATTCAGATCTTTATTCAGTTCTTTCTTAACGCAAATACATTTATATTATGTAAATTTACACTCAAAGAAAAATAAAGGATCTTTATTCCAGTCAGAGACCGACATATTATATAATAAAAGTATGTGAATGCAATTGTATGCAAAAGTTTTGGCGCTTTCATCAAGCTGTATGATTCAATGGATCCCTAAATGAACAAAAGCTGGCCCAACCTCTACAAAGGTAAACACAACAACTTCCAGCAGATCTGAAACTAATGTTCCCCTTCATATGCAGCCCGTCCCAGTTCAGAATAAGATAGCAGCGAATATGGAAAGTTTCAGAAGTTGGGCATTTAGTCAGAACTTTGTAATGCCTCTTTTGGCAAGACGAACAGCTTCTACGTGTTTCCTGTAACCAGTGAAGGGTCTCTCTACGGTTTTCCATTTGGAATGTTCCCTGACTTCCTTTTGCAGATCTTTCCTAGCTCTGTGACTGTCAACGTGTGGTGGGGATTTTCTGATTCTCTTCCTCATTTTGGGGTTTGATAAGGGGAAGAGCGAGTGAAAAGAAAAGAATGGGCTAGAATTGACTGTAAGCGTGCTCAACATGGCTTTGACATTCTCCTGCTGTTTCTCGTATTAGACAAAGAACCTCTTTCGGGATACCCAGTCCTTTCCCAAAGACCACGGCTTCTCTATGACAGCTGATCCACTCCTTGGCCTTGGTGAACCATTGCCTGTAGCCGGTTCTTCTCATTCTAGGGTCTTGGGTAAAACTCTAGTCCCTCTGGGCCTTCATTTCTTTTCCTTCAGGAAAGCCATCCCTGGACCTTTCTTCTTCCCCCTTCCCAGTCAGAAACCAACAACTCCTCAGACATTTAACTTCTTTCTCCAACTTTTCTCTCCAGCCACTCTATTCACTCTGTGGTCAGAGTTTCCTTCTCTTTCCTTCTCTCCTCTCCTGTTCTCCCTTTCCCATTTTTAGCCAGATCAGCAGCATGCCCCTCAACAAGGAGGGGAGGAGGAGGAGGGTCTCCCCCCCCCATTTCTAATCCCCAACATCTATATATAGTAGCCAGGAGCAATGAGACTACTGTCTTAACATCTCACCACAACAGACTGGCTAGCAGCCAAGTCTGCACATCAGCCATTAATGATAGTCCAGCTGCCATTCAGGGCCAAAACTGAGCTCCCTTTCCCCCTTTTATTCACTGCAAAGGCTGGCTCACAGGAGCAGAACTGCAGCTCCCCCAGGCCACTAAAACTGTTATGCCACAATCCCCTCACAGATTTTCCATAATATTCAAGTCTGGGTGAAGTGAAGGCCATTACTAAATTACTAAAAGCTTTATCTTTCTTTCTTTCTTCTAAATATTCTAAGTATTCTAAATATTCTAAATATTCTACTTTCTTCTAAGTATGTTGTGAAAGAGCACCTTATTTCGTTGTTCTCAGGTTCTGAGTACAATGACAATAAATTTATCTTATCTTATCATCTTAAATAACTCATGGTTGCTTTGGACATGTATTTCAGATCATGTTGAAATATCCAACTTCTTTTTAGCTTTAGTTTTTCTTCACTGACAGCAAGTTGTTAGTTTTAGGACCCAGTGATATTCAGATGGAACCATGCCATCTGGACAATATTTCTTGTGTTGTTTTCTGCCACCTAAGTTCAGAACACAATTGTTGGCCAAGAAACTTTTTTTTTTCTTCAGATGTTTCTCTGAACATATCTTATGTGGTTGTGACTGAACAATTAACTTTTTATTTCATCAGTATAAAGCCCTTTGTTCCAAATGTTCCTGGATTAAGGTTTTCTACTGACTGACTTTAATTGAAAAAGTTGAAAGAAAACTACAGTGACAGAATTCTGACTAATCTTCCAAGCAGATCAGTGTTGCAAAAGCGATGCTGTGAACCTCTGATAACTATTCCAGATGTAGGTGAACTTTTAAACAGGTTGTTTGTATTGATACATGGTTTCTGTTTTTTTAGAATATCAATTTCTTAACCCTGTCTCTCCTGGTCAAAATTGCTAGCTGGAATTGGTTCAGTGTTTTTATACCTGTTTCCTACTTTGTAATGGTGAATTAGCTTCATTTTCGCTGCTTGGAGAAACCTACTGGTTGTTGGAAGTAGAGATGACAACAGTCACATCTTGAGAGGTTAGAAGGATCAGGATATTGTTCTTCTGTGGTATTGATTTTATTTCCTTGCAAGCTGAAGAGATTGGTCACCTTTTTTGCCTTATTAAAAACGTTAGTTAGAAAAAAGTAACCCTGAATCAACTGTAGTTTATTCATCTGCACTTGCCATGTTCATTGTTGTCAACAACTCATAAATACTAAGTATACATTCCAATTTATAGAAATATATTGTGTTTAGTTTTATATCATGAAGCTGTTGTGTCAGGCTCTGTCAACATAAGGATTCATTGAAACCTACAGTTTTGACTAAGATGTGCCTTTCCACACAACTATATACATATATGGGAACGTCATTAAGCTGTGCTGATCTAGAGTAAGCAACATTATACAAAATGTATGCAAAAGCTAAAATACATGTAAGCAAAAACTAGGAATGGAATACACGTTTTCTACTTTGTTTGTGAAAACGGCTATCTATGTTGGTTAATCCTGAAGCTTTTGAATTCCTTTCTTTTTGTTCTTCTTCTTTTTGTTCCCTTCCTTTTGCCCTGGGCAGATGAGTGGATATCTCAATCTCTTGGCTAATACAATAGATAATTTCACACATGGCTTGGCAGTGGCAGCCAGCTTCCTGGTTAGCAGAAAGGTAAGTTTACTTCTTTAGCAGACTGGCTCTCCTTTAACAACATGAAGATGAATTAAAAAGACATGTACCCTATTCCCCAAATATATTGCTTCCTTTACTCTTGACACAAAGGCACTAAAAAATCCATCTCTATCCAACATTCAGTCTGCTTATACTGAATATCTATTGCTACCTTTGAGTTGTGGCTTGGGTGATGCAGGGATACTGTGGTGTGCCGTTCACCTTGTTGCACAACAATCTCTCTTTCTAAGCTAATCAGGATGCTATCTAATAGACAACTATCCTACACTTCTTGTTTTGAAAGACTTAAGTGTCCACGCTGAAGGACACTTAGGAATGGCTTAGGATTGCAAATCCACCATGACCATCGGTCTAGCCCAATTTCTTCTGGTTGCACTTATATAAGGACATATAGCGGATGTGGTATTTGATTGGTTCCCATGATCCCGAAATGCAGGAACTGTTTTAATTCCATTCTCATGGAAAGATTACTGTCTGATCAGTTTAATGGTTGTTGTAAACCCATCGAAGAGTTAAAATAGTTCGGCCCAGCACTTAGATCCAAGAATTCGCTAAATATGCTTGGAGAATTTCTTGCCTTCATTTGGGCAACAGAATCAAAGCCTTGGCAGATCTGTGAAATTAGGAGAGGGCCCAGATGAACTGCCTTCTTCCCAATGAAGTACAATGGAGGAGGTTTCAAATGCAAGTGGAAGGACAAACTAGATTGAACATGTAGTGGAAGATCATGGAGTAATGCTACTCCATGGGAGGGGAGGGAGCAGAGAGGGCTGACTTGTTTGCTCTTGAGAAATGTCCAAGAACTGTAATGATTGTAAAGTATGACAATTAGACTGCTATCTGGCTGCAAAATGTGGATTCATGTGATTTTTTTAAAAAAAGATCAGCACTGTTTGTCACTTGCTTGCTAGGTTAATAGCTTTTTTTGTTCATTCATTTTATAGTGTGTGTGTGTAATTTTGTAAGCTGCCTTAAGCTGTTATATGGACAGAAAAGTGGGATGCCATTTTAATCATATATAAATACATATAACGTTTGCCCCAGGGCTACATAGGCTGATGATGATGATAATGATGATTCATTTGGTTTCAATGCCATCCAGCTCCAGACAAAATCTGGGTGGCTTATAGTATATAAACATGAAAGGATGGGATGGCCAAGCTAGGGAAAAGGGAGCATCACATACATGAAAACTCATTGTCATGCATACACTTAATGCAACCCATCAAACACGCAATATTCACTTAAGCTCCTTCTTCTGTAAACAGATAACTGGCATTGCCAGCAGCAGGAAATCCGAGGTTTGATTCCCTCAGTCAACTGATCAAATCGTCACATGGCTGGCAACATTTGGATTGTTAAGTTTCCTGTTGATTATGGCAACAGAAAGCTAGTGACTTGTGCCACCTAGCTATGTAGCTGATTAAAAGGATCAGTTGGCCAGTAGGAAAATAGGAAGAAGGAATCTTTAGGCTTTGTTGTTGAAGGTGGAGGACCACATGAGGCCACAGATTTGTCTATCCATACTCCTTTAGAAGGTCTGTGTAATTTTTAGGAAGCAATTTCATCATTTTTCCATGTCCCTCTTTAATATTTACAACAAAGCCTCCGATTCCACTTGGATGTTTCCTATAAGTTCTCTAAATGCTAACGCTGCATAGATCACTGTCTCAGGTGGAACCTTGTATTACACTATTGCTACCCTGCTGAGCTATAAAAACTTCTCGTAGCTAGTTTTGTCTTCTTGGTTTTTAGGTTGGACTCCTTACGACCCTGGCAATTCTTCTACATGAAATACCCCACGAGGTGAGTGTGTCAGGAATATGTGTGCTGGGAAGCTGAGCTAGTGGTGGGCAGAAATCCTGGGTATATATACAGTAGGGTCAGTAACACAGAGAGCTTTGCAGACTGATGTAAGCCAAAAGCAGAGAAATCTTTTCTTCTGTCTGTAAAACAGCGTGAACACTAATATTGGAAGAGAGGAGAGAGGCCACCAATAAGTGTGAAGACATCTTGATCTTTTTGTTTCTTCATTGCCAAAATGAGGGGTTAGCAGATGGTAAATATTGCTTAGCATCCCTTCTTGTTAACCAACCAGAAGAGCCATCTTCTTCTATAAGGCAAAAACTATATTCCCAATCAGGTGCTCTCCAGACATATTAGGCTATAGCACCTCTAGATATCCCAGTGCATTTTCAGGACTCTGTTGGAGAGTCCTGCTTGTCGGAAGCTTGTCGGAAGCCAGCTGGGAAGGCCGCAAATGGTGATCATGTGACCCTGAGATGCTGCAACCCTCATCAATACACGCCAATTGCCAAGGACCCAAGTTTTGATCCCTTGACCTTAGGAATGGTGTAACAGTCATAAGTGTGAGGACTGGTTATGAGTCACTTTTTTCAATATCATTGTAAGTTCAAATGGTTGTAAATCGAGGACTGTCAGTATATAGTCTTTTTCAGTTATTTTCCTACTTATTTAATAAAAATAACAAACAAATTAACTAAGCCACAGTTGATTTACCTCCCTGGAACCCTGTCATGCCCCTGTCAGAATCTGATTCCGAGGGGGAGGCCAAGCAGCTGACAGGGAGTGGGAGTGTGGCTCCGGTGGCTGTGGAAGAAACTGGGGAAGGGCAAAGTCCAGCTGGGCAGAGCAGGAGAGAGGTAGAGCAAGGCAGAGAGAATTCAGAGGAAGTCTCAGGGCCACCCCTTCTTCATCCTAGGGCACGCAGGGAGGAACAGAAGGGAGCAATGTGAATTGTGTGGCTTACAGGGGAGGAAAGGGCCCTGATCCCCTTCATTAGCTGCAGCTGGGAACACAGTGTTTAAAAAGAAAGATTGCACACAGCACCTGGTTGGAAGCAAATCATGAATTATCTGTTCTTGTAGAGGCTTATCTGGGTTCCTAGCATCTTCCCAACTGTGTGTGTTTTGTTGGCCTTTGAAGTCTGCAATTCCTTATCCTGCCCTGTCCAGTTAATTGCTGCAGCGTGGTTTGTGTGGATTTTTATTTGCAGTTTGTATGTACTTTGTTTTCGGACTGAATTTCCACCACTTAAAGACTGTTTTGGGGAGAGTTTTTTCTCCAGACGAAGGTAACTGGACATTGGGGGCAAAGTTGGAGGTATTAAAGGGACTTTTCTTACTTATGTGACTGTGTTGCCTTAGTGCCACACCCCGGGGTCATCACAAGCCCAGTTTTAAGCAAAGTCACCTACCCTCCATGGAACAGCTACCTTAACTAACACGCCGTAGCCACCATAACCATTTTCAGATTGGGTGCCTTACTCCCGGATGTTACATTCTCTTTTCCCTTTCTGTAGGTGGGTGATTTTGTCATTCTCCTCCGGGCAGGATTTGATCGCTGGAGTGCAGCCAAGCTACAACTCTCGACAGCTCTTGGGGGCATCCTGGGCGCCTGCTTTGCTATCTGTGCTCAGTCCCCAAAAGGGACAGGTGAGGTTCTTCGAAGGCACAGCAGATGGCTCAGAAGCTCCATTCCCTTTGACTCTCAACGTGTTCACATATAGAATATGAAATATGGAACCATCCCTTGGTTCGTAACGTGCTGTCCATTATCTCTTCAGGGGAAACCATCGCTTGGATTCTCCCTTTCACCTCTGGAGGATTCCTGTACATTGCTTTGGTAAATGTGGTGCCTGACCTCTTAGAAGAGAAGAATCTTTGGTAAGAGTTGCTCTCGTGATTTTTGGTTTTGTTTAATGAAGAAAAGCTTGAATAGCCGTAACAAAAGGGAGTCATTTGAAATCCCAAAGACTAGAAAAGCTTTTATGACATCTTTTTTTTTAATGAGGAAGGGTCTGTTAAATTCCTTCGCCTTCACTGCTGGGGATTGCTACACACATGGATCTGTTCCTGAGGAGAATTTGGAAAGAGAATTTGATAGATTCAAATCTCTAGATCAGGGGTGTCCAACCTTGGCAATTTTAAGACTTGTGGACTTCAACTCCCAGAGTTGAAGTCCACAAGTCTTAAAGTTGCCAAGGTTGGACGCCCCTGCTCTAGATAGATAGATGATAGATAGATAGATAGATAGATAGATAGATAGATAGATAGATAGATAGATAGATAGATAGATAGATAGATAGATAGATAGATAGATATAGAAATATAGAGATAGATAGATATAGAGATAGATGATAGATAGATAGATAGATAGATAGATAGATAGATAGATAGATAGATAGATAGATAGTAGATAGATAGATAGATAGTAGATAGAGAGGGAGGGAGGGAGAGAGAGAGAATGAACTAGTGCTTCTCAACCTTCGTTTTTCATCTCCCAGAAGCCCACATGATACATCACTGGGTGACAAGACCACAGTCACCCAGGGACTTCCATGTTCAAATGAAGACTTGAACCTCAGTTCCCTCTGTCCAAGTCCGTCACTGCGAATGCATTCATACAGCACGTTTAACCTGGTTACTGAGTTAGGCTATTTTCTAGCCTCCCATAAACCTTGAATCACAAACCCTTAGTTAAAATATGTCGAATTAGTAAAAGGCTGGGTTCAATTCAACATGGAAAGTCACACACACACACACACACACCCATTCCCCTCAAACTCCCCTCCTCCAAAACTTTGGCTTGGCATTTCAAAGGCATCTATTTGGTCTTTACCTAACACAGTTAAGCAAGTTGTATAACTACAAGCATTAACTACCACAATATAATCTATTTTTAAAAAAAATAAAATAAAAATAAAAGCTTTTATCTGTATTTCTCTATACAGTGATTCTATAGTAAAGGTCCAGAAAAGATTGATGATGATGATGATGATGATGATGATGATAATAATAATAATAATAATAATAATAATAATAATAATAATAATAATAATAATAATAATAATTGTCCTTCTCTTCTCCTTCCCTTGCCTAGGAACTCCGTGCAACAGGTTCTGTGCCTTTGTATTGGCATCGTTGTCATGGTGCTTTTCTCCTTCACCATCGAATGAGAGGCTCCGGCTTCTTTTCTGCTGTTTCACAAAGCTGCCTCCCTCTGAAGTGTCGCAAAGGAGTCAGGGACACCCAGGGATCTTTTTTTCTTCCTCATGTGCCTGCAGAATCTGACTGCTGCTCAGGGGTGGTGAACAAAGGAAGCGTCTTTTCTTCTTTTTTTTCTTCTTAAACGGCACAAAGCTAGACATCCAAAAATTTTGAGAAAAGATGAGGGTGTTTTTTTTTTTTTAGAAGTATCAGAGTGTCTTTTTTAAAATAATAATAATAATAATAATAATAATAATAATAATTTAAAGGAGGGCGGGGGGAACCAGCACTCTTTTAGTGGAACGGATGGCGGTGTTCCTGTTGGACCAGTCTCTGTGCTGGGATTGCTTGGACAAAAACTCCAGAGTGAAATAGAAAGCAAGAGTACATATATATATATATATATATATACATCTATATTTTTCTCTCCTGGGCTCAGGTACGTCACCAGCAGCAAAATACTTGGTTGTTATTCGACCTACGTTGGAATCTATGTATTCCCCATCTAGCTCAGTATATCTGGACTGGCAGAGACTTTTCATGGTTTCAGCTAGAGAGCTTTTCCAGTTCTTGTCCTCTCTGAGATCCTTTTGAAAATGGAGACAGCAGGGACTGAAGTGGGTTTCCTGCTGCTCTGAGGTCTTCCCTTCCCATAAAAGCATCTCTGCACTTTTTCTGAGATAGACAATTTCATGCCTTCTACCTGTGTGGGATTCCAGCTTCCATTTATCCCAGCCAGTATGGCCATTAGCAAGGGACAATCCAAAACATCTGAAGGGGTATCCAGGTTTCCTAACCTGGTTCTAGAATTGATGATTTCTTACTTCTAAAGGTGGGTAACTGAAAATCTGACTGGATTCAGCAGAGCTTTTCTTAGGCTTCTCCAATACATTTGCATTATGAAATCAGGAACTATATTGGAAATGCCTACACGGATTGTTTAATAACCCTATTTCTAGCTATCACTTTTTCCTCAAAGCTAGAAAATCACCAGTAACGGGATGATAGAGCTCAACTCCAAAAACCACTTGGGCCCCACAACTAGAAGATACAACCTAAGAACGCCAACAATATCCTTCTTCCGAATGTGACACTACATGAAAAAGGTTTTAATTTATTCTGGCCATGAGGTAGCTTAAAAGCAACAGGATTAGTCTTGTTTGGCAGCTTTTTGGCTGCAGCTTCCTTTTTGACTCATTTGGTAACAAGGTAAGACAAATCTACATTCTCCTACAGTGGATAAGAAAGAACTTGATAGAAACACACATGGGCAGCATAAAGAGAAATGCAATGGGTGTAGCAGCCTTAAAATCTATATAAATAACAGCTCTGGGGTTTGTTTTTTTCTTGTTGTTACTGTGGTAGCTCACTGAAAGATATTCACGTATTTTGATCAGTTCTTCCATAAAGCAACATTAGATGCAGGTAATCTGTTTTATTGACTCTCCTAATGAAATGTCCTCTCTTTTGATGAATCTGTCTGTCTGAAGAGTTGGTCTCCTCCAACAGTTGCTTCCAGTTGTTCCCAGTACAGAGTGCCAAAAGGGCACCTTTTCCTACTCATCCCTTGTGTGTTTTTTTCCTCTTTTTTTACACACCCTAGCTAACATTTTCCAAGAATACTTGTTGCTCTTTAAATTCTGACCGGCGTTATTAAGAGTCTCTAGTAGTGCATTCCCAGGATGAGAGAGTACACAGAAGATCATGCAGTTGGAATCAGGGTTAAATCTGGTGTTAGGCTGCAAGCTGCAGCAGGAATTTTCTGCTCACTGTTTAGGAATGCAAAGTGGGTGACATTGACTCATTAATCTTTGAGTTATTGTTGGCTTGCAGCCCAGGCTGCCTGGAGTGAATCTGCAGATACTGGGGAGCATTGCCTGAAGGGGCCAGGCACAGTCCAAAGGAAGAAGTTCCTACTCCAGTTGGAACTAGCTCACAATGCTACAGACAAGCAAGATGGTTAATATTTCTGCAATACTTATCACTTTGGGCGTTATTTAGCACTAGCTTTTGTGCATTCACCTTCTTCTGTTTCACACAGAGGCAATAGAGATTAAATTTTAAAAATCTGAATGCGGCCTCTTATTCATTCGTACGCTTCTATTCTTTCATTGGGCCCTTGCATATATCTCACTTTTAAATAGGAAGCTGTTGGAACGAAGAAAAAGGTCATATAATTTACCCTTCCCATATAATTTAGCCTTCTGATTATGAGAATTACTGTTTAACATATCTGGAGAAAATCCAGTTGTAGAAGTCCGATGTCTACTAAAGTATGATAGATAAGCCATTGCTCAGGGGAGAATTTGTATCACAATTCATAAAAAGCAGATGATAAGGGAGGGAGAAACCAAGTTGGATCACAAGAATATTTCATCCAGTGAACTTTGAAAGACCCTATCCCAATTATCTATCTTTAGCACCTATATTCTGACTTGTATATCCTGTGGACATACAGACTTCACGTGATCAAGACCAAATAGATCTGTCAACAGCCATTTTTCCTGGATTTATTCCTGAGTCAAGACTCACAGCAGGCAAAATCAGTTACGTGAGTTCATAAAACAAAACCTGCATTTGCCTCTGATCTTCCATTCTTCCCATGGGTTAAACCTTATCCTATTTCTGGTTTTGCAACAGTTTGGACAAAAGTTAAGGAAGAAACCTTTTGCTATGCTTACATTCAAAATCCTACTTATGTTTTATATGGTTTGGACCCCAGGCTCCACCAGATTAAATCTACTCACCTGTGAGTTTCACCAGGAAGAGGAGTGTTGGTGGCCTCAGGAGATTTAGAGGCCCAGAAGCAGGCCTTTGGGATGGCTGGCCATCTCTCTACCCCTTGGGGATCTAATCAGTCTCTCACTGTTAAGTTTTAAGAAGGTGTTGAATACTTGGCTCTTCCTTCCAGCCCTTGAGATATTTATCACAAGGAGAAGACGGGGTCATTCACTTTAAAACTTCTCTTTCATTAAAAGAGAATTAAAAGATACACTTCTGATATGTTGATGTTGAGATTCTGGAAAGAATGCAGAGAACAGCAACAGATGATTAGTAGACTGGAGGCTGAAACATGAAGAACATTTGCAGGAATTAATATGTCTGGTTTAATGAAAAGAAGAACTAGGGGTGACAGGATAGCAGTGTTCCAATATCTAGGGTGCTGTAACAAAGCAGAGGGAGTCAACCTATTCTCCAAAATACCTGAAGGCAGGACAAGGAGCAATGGATTGGAGATTATCAAAGAGAGATCCAATCTAGAACTAGGGATAAATTTCCTGCTAGTGAGAACAATTAAATCAGTGGAACAACTTGTCTCAGGAAGTTGTGGGTGCTCCAACACTTGAAGAGATTGGACAATTACTTGTTTGAAATGGTATAGGATTTGCTGCCTGGGTAGGGGTTGGACTAGAAAGACCTCCAAGATCCGGTCCAACTCCGTTATTCTGTTATTTTTACTGGTTAAATCAGTTTAATGTGAGCACCTGAGCACTGTGAGAGATTTTTAAGGGAAACAGAATAAAACAGCCATAAAGATAAAGGTGTTTGAGCCTGGCACTGTAGTCCTGCATCTCCAGAAGGATGTTCCAAGGACCATACTGTCAGGTTTCCAAGTGATGAAATACATTTTAAAAAGAAAAGCACAAAATCCATCTTCCAAGACAATTTCTTTTATTTAGGAAAGCATCAAATTGGCAAAGTCCATGGTAATTCCGGATCTGACACAACCCGGAACTACCCCACAATATTAGAAATTAGAAACAACCCCCAAAAATCACATTCTCCAATAAAATGTAATTCAGTGTTGCTTGATGTCATAAATCTCCATTCAAGGGGCCCAAGCACGGACAGCTCGTTTTCCCACGGGAAGAATACCTGGCCTAAACAACTCTATCCCCACTCCTCCCCACTTAGGAATGTGGCAAGCCTGAAACCCTTCCCCCCTCATGACTGCCACAGAGAAAGTAAGAAAAAGAATATATACTGAGCCTAACTAAAATGGCTACACATGCGTCAATTTCGACATATATGTTTGGAGAGACGCCTCTAAGTTAGGAAGGATAATAAATCCAATGACAGAAACCCCTCTGGAGGGAATCTACATTCAGAGGACTAGGGCTACATAGAGAAGAAAAGATGATTTGGGAACAGTCTAGGGATGGGTTGGTAATTGCTACAGATGAAAAACAATTGCAGCTCAACTTGTAGCATAGTATCTCTATCTGCATTCCCTTACAGCGGGGGTGTCAAACCCACGTCATGGCCTCATCCCATGTCGTATCACTTTGCTAAATTGGGCATGGCCAGCACATGATGCACCCGGCCCATGGGCCATGAGTTTGACAGCTGCCTTACAGGAAGGGATGAGAGAAAAGAGGAGGGAGGGAAAGTTACAAGTCCCTCTACTGTTTCATTTTGCATTTATGACCGTCTCTGCAAGCACTTCAAAATGACAAGGTTTTATTGCAGAAGAAAATCAAAGTTCGCAGGATGCCTATTGGCATCAGCGTGGTTTATGGAAACTTCCCTTAATGCTTGGCAGGCTCTCCACCTATAAAATTTATAAAAAAAATTATAAAATCCACCGGCTTTATAAAATTTAATTTTAAAGCTGCAAAGCAGCTTTTAGTTTTGTCTCGCTTTTGGGGGGGAGGGTCCCAAGTCTGCCTCTTAAGTCTCATAGCCTCTTAGGAAATAAAAATGGCAGGGTACTGTTGCATTGTGCTTTATTTGGAAAAAGTTTGGCTTCCAAACTTTAGGAAAAGAGAAAAATCTTGACAAAGTAACCATCTTAATAATCCTGTGCAATAGCACAAAAATATTTATTCCATTATTTAAAAACCATTGTAGGCAAGATTAATGAAATTAGAAAGCAACGATCCTTTGAGTTCTGGTGAATAGATTAAATTGAAACACAGGAAAACATTGAGAAAATCCTGACAAAAGAGAGCTGAAATGAAGACGGAATCCCAGAAGCCTTAAATCTGCCCTATGGCTGGACTGATTGCTCCT